GCTCCTTCGGCTGGTGAGGGTACTTGTGCCGCTGGTCCCGGAGCTGCTGGGCCCTCGGGTCCGCCTGGAGCTGGAGCTGCTGCGGGTGTTGGTGCTGAGACTGCTGCTGTCCTTCCTGGCGGTGGTCCTGCTGCGGGTGCTGCTGGTGCTGCTGGAGGTCCTGCCGCTGGAGGTGCTGTTGGCGCTGGTGCTGCTGCTGAGGGTGCTGTCCCTGCTGTGTCTGGAGTCGCCGCGCGGCCTCGGCCGTACTTCGTTCCACTCCTACAGCAGGTTCTTGGTCTTTCTCCTCCTGCAGCGTGTCCACCGCCTGTTCAGTCACAGTCCCAGTTAGAGCCCGCCTCCCCACTTCCTGCTCCCTCTCCTTACACTGGTCCCACTGGAGGTCTTGCTGAGCGTCGTGAGCCTGCGTCTCGTCCTGCGTCGCCTGTTCGTGCTGCTCGCGCTAGTGGTCGCGGTTCGCGTCAGTGTCCTCCTCCTGTCCCTGGCACGCACCGGATGTCTTTGCGTCCGTCCACTGCTCCTCTGCGTGCCCCTTTGCCTTCTCCTCCTGAGTCCTCCCTTCCTGCACTTACCGACCCAGAGTCCGACTCTCTTCGTGCTGCTAGTCCTACTGTCACACGTCTCCTTGCTACTGTCGTCACTGACCCCTCTTTTGAGTCCACTGCTGCGTCTGCGCTTGTTGCTGAGCTCGTCGACTTTGCTGCTCGCTGTCGTCTAGACTACGCTGCCGGTCTTGTTGCTGAGTCTGCGTCTGTCTGTCCTCCGTCCGTCGGGGGTGAGTGTGCTCTTGGCACGGACGTCCTTGAGGACAGGCAGGAGGAGTTCCAGTGTCTGGCTGCTGCTTCACCTCATCTCGCGTCCGTACTACTTGCCCCTGAGGGAGACCCGGATGCACTAGACATCCCGACTCCGCGCTCTTACGCGGAGGCCGTAGAGGGTCCCTACTCCTCTCAGTGGCAGGCAGCTATGGATGCAGAGATGGCGTCCTGGAAGTCCACAGGCACCTACGTTGACGCGGTGCCCCCTCCTGGGGCGAACATCGTCAGTGGCATGTGGATCTTCAGGGTGAAGCGGCCGCCGGGCTCTCCACCTGTCTTCAAGGCGCGGTACGTCGCTCGTGGCTTCAGTCAGCGGCAGGGAGTTGACTACTTTCAGACCTTCTCTCCCACCCCGAAGATGACCACTCTTCGGGTGCTGCTGCACATAGCCGCTCAGCGCGACTACGAGCTCCACTCTCTTGACTTCAGAACCATGCTGGCCTTGTGTCGAGAGCAGCGCTTGGAGCACAGAACGAAGCACATTGCTCTCCGTTACTTTCTTGCTCGTGAGCTGCAGCAGCGTGGTCAGTTGCGACTTGCGTACGTGGCCTCTGAGGCCAACACTGCTGATGTGTTCACCAAGGCACTTGCGCCTTGTGACCATCAGCGCTTCTGCACTCAGTTGGGTCTTGTACCTGTCTTGCCTCACTTGCTCTCCTCTTGACCTTGCTTGTACTGTCACATATATATACCTGCTCTTGCTTGTCTAGCTCTATATATATATGTGTCCCCCTGCATGTGAACTGGCCTTGTGGCCTTGTCGTTGTGCTCGGACTGTGTGGTGACTTTGTGATCCACCCTGAGCTTGCTGTGCTTTGCGTGACTGGTCTTGTGACCCCTTGTTCTCCCCCACTTTGCCTATGGGGGTGTGTCAGAACATTATATAGCTTATGCTGTTGTGTAGGCTATAGTGGGGTATCCCATAAGGGGTACAACCCAATTAGGGTTTCCTATATGTACTCACTTCATTCGCGTTCTCCTTCCCACAAAGGTTTCTGTTGAGTTATAGGGCAGGGCTAAGAGATAATACTAAATATTTGGGTATGTGAAAGGCTGGCCATTGTGTTGGCTCCTAGGATGCTTGGCTGTAGCATGTTTACGTAATGTGATGACGATTTGGGCACAGGTGCCTGGTGCTCCGGCGTTAGGCTGAGGGCCGCTGACGTTGGCTCGTGATTGCGAGTGTGATAGTGCAAGTTCAGTTGAGTGTGAGCGTGTGTGTGTGGGTGGTCGGGTGAGCGTGAGCGCAACTCAGGGGGTGAGTGCGAGGGTTTGTGTGTGTTTCCTTGAGTGTGTATGAGAACGGTTGAAAAAATATTCGAGTGTCCGTGAGTGGTTGCGAGAGTGACTGCGATCGTGTACGAGAGTGTGAGCACGGGTTTGAATTTGGGAGCAATAGCAAGTGTGAGAGTGAGCGTGCGCATGCACTTGAGGGTGTCTGCGAGAGTGAGTGCGGTGTACGAGAGGGTCAATGTGAGCAAGTGCGAGCGTGAGTGCGAGAATGATTGCGAGGGTGGGTGTGAGAGCAATACGAGTGTGAGTGTGAGGGTGAATACGGGTGTGAGCGCGAGAGTGAGTGCAAGGGTGAGTGTGAGGGCGAGGGTGAGTGGGTGTGTGTGATTTTCTGTGTAAGTGTGAGAGTGAGCGCGAGCATGTTCGCGAGCATGAGTGCAAGGTTGAGTGCCAGGGTTTGAGAGTGTGTTTCTGTGAGTGTGTCTAATAAAAGCTGAGAGCAACTGTGTGGGCATTAGTGGGTGGGAAAGTGAGTGCTAGAGTGAGTGCAAGCATGAGTGTGAGGATGAATGTGAGGGTGAGTGCAAGGGTGGCTGCGAGGTATTGCATGCACTCAAGTTTGATTGTTTAATCACTCTTTAGTTTCATCAGCAATTTCTTTAGCGATTAATTTGTTTCTAATGCATTGTGAGAGCTGAATTTTCTGATTTTGTTGTCTTTTGCAGCTCATGCAAGAATTATACTCTGATTTTGTCCTTGTTGGTGCAGGGAGTTCAAGCTGCATTCTTTGTTTCTTGCAGAGAAAAGGGAAGAAGGTGGGGGGGGGGGGGGGGGAGGAGACCAGGGAGGGAGGGAGGAGATTGGGGGACATGCTAGCAATCATTTATACATGGCTGAACCTAATTGATTAGGCTTGCATGCTTATTAGCTGTATGTTTTTGTGCTGTGTGTGTATGTGTGTGTGATCCTGTATGTGTGCGTGCGTGCACGTGTATACGCGTGTTAGTGTCTGTGTCTGTTTCGGGGTGTGGTGCTAAGTGCCTCGTAAATGCAAGTGGGATTGTGATCGTTGGTGGGGCAGCTTTGCTCGCCTGTTCCATACCAGATAAATTTCAGTTGCATTATCAATTCATTCAAGCATTACCTTCAATGCATTCACAACAGTTCTCGTTTTTGCACATGTTTGTGTGCTTTCGTTTGTGTAACGTGTTGTGTCTGTTTCGGGGTGTAATCCTAGGTGCATCCGTGTATGCAATTGAGGTTGTTTTTCGGTGGGGCAGCTTTGCTTGCCTTTTCCGCACCACATCAATCCCAGTTGCAGCATTGATGCATTTAGTAATCGCTTCGAAACAGGCACGATTTCCAAATGTGGTATTGAGAAAGCTTGCTTTCTGTGCTTGCAATGGCAACGTGCTTCATTACGATTGCAGTCATTACAACATTCTCGTCCAACTATAGACTATACATGTGTATGAGTAGGGTGGGTGGGTGGGGAGTGGAACTGCAAAGTTCCGAAATGAAGACGTGGGTGGAGGCCAAATGGCCTCCAACCCTCGTTATATACTCGGCGAATGGTAATTCGCAATTGCCTAACTGCGCTACAGTCAGCTGCGCTTTCACAATACGCATTTTTAGAAAGTGTTACACACTTTCGAAAAAAAACATATAGAGAAAGCTTGCTTTCTTATTCTATATCAATTGGCATCGTTCTCATTACAAATGGGTTATTACAACATTTGCAGCAACGTTGAACACAAGCTAGTGCAGTCTAATAACACTAGCTAAGATGTACCCTATCCAAGTGGCATTAGCAAGGCGGTTTACTCTGGGGTGGGTGGTGGGAATGTTGAGTGGGCCGTTTGAAAATCGAGAAACGTGGGTGGAGGGAAATGAACTCCAACCCACGGTTTTTGTAGTTGGAGAAGGGCGTTTAGCGCGCTTCGACGATGCCAATTGTGCAGTACAAGCAGCTTCGCTTTCACAATACACAATTTTAAAAAACTCAATGTGTGTTTAAAAATTATAATATTGAGAAAGCTTGCTTTCTGTGCTTGCAATGGCAACGTGCTTCATTACGATTGGGTCTTCTGAGACATGTGTTGTCAGGAGCGTTGAAGACGTCTTGAGTGTAATTGCAGTTGATGATATCGACGACGTGTTGAGAGGAGTGCCGTTGGTGATTGCGATCGCCGTGTTGATGGGGTTCGGAATGTTGTGTGTGTGGAGGTTGCTTGTTCCCTTGTAGGTGTACTGGTTCTTGGTGCTGCAGTATGGTGTGGTTGAAGCTCGTGGTAATTGGTTTTGAGCTGGTGACGATGCTAACGAGCTGACGATGGATAACCAAGCGAACTTGCATGCAAGTGATTTCTATATGACGGATGGACAGCAACTACGTTGATGCTGAATGAGTTTTATTGTCATGTTCGCAGGTGGTCGCTAGAACACGCAAGACGACAAAACTGCCATGGAAGCATGATATTTTGTGCACGATCAGCATGATGAGGAATCGCATGCAACTAAGGTAGGAGACTGGATGGCTTGGGAGGAATGGGGCGCCAGAGTTGCGCTACGAAGAGTATCGTATGAACGCTAGTCAAGTATATCCAAGCGCTACCGTAGGAGTTTCATCCCTATCGTTGTTCGGGAGACGATTTAACTTCACGCACCCGATAATTCGATGTATAGCAGCGCTCTGTCATCATACCATTCGCTTGTCTCCTTTGCCCTACAGTTGTCATGACAAATATCTGCGATCATCGGCTAGTGCTTAGCTCATTCCTTCAGTTCTTAGGTAGAGTTCTGTAGCGCAGGTACGGTATGTGGTCGAGCAGATAGTACCGTAACAGTTCCTGGTGTGTCAAAAACGGTTTGAGAATCTGACCATCAATGGTATCAGCAATAACGATGACCTTAGCACCTCCAAAGTACTATATGGCCATGCCGGGCCCAATGGTGTGCTTGCTTGGCCAACTCAACAACGGCCGCACGCAAATGGGAGAGAGTTTGGGCAATGTGTTTTCATGTTCAACGCATTGTGCGTGCGTCCAATCCAAACATCTGTACGGACTCTTCATCCCCCTCTCTCACTTGACCATAAAACGGCATAGTAATAAGAAAATGTGCTTTCACGTTCCTATTTTCTCATGGTCAAAACAACTCTTGCTACCACTGCTTTCATTGATCTACACATTTCAATGGATGATGACTCTGCTCAGCAACCAAACTCTTATAAATCTCGATTATAAGGCCTCAGCACATGTCATACTAGCCTCCCTTCCGTGGGGAACAACCCTCTAAACGTTAGGAACCTTCTGCCCCTTTCCCCCCCTGGGAGACGGCCCTCTGGCCAGCAACGGGACCTTCGGTCCTTTTCCCCCCTGGGGAACGGCCCTCTGGCCAGCAACGGGACCCTCGGTCCCTTTCCCCCCTGGGGAACGGCCCTCTGGCCAGCAACGGGACCCTCGGTCCCTTTCCCTCCTGGGGAACGGCCCTCTGGCCAGCAACGGGACCCTCGGTCCCTTTCCCCCCTGGGGAACGGCCCTCTGGCCAGCAACGGGACCCTCGGTCCCTTTCCCCCCTGGGGAACGGCCCTCTGGCCAGCAACGGGACCCTCGGTCCTTTTCCCCCCTGGGGAACGGCCCTCTGGCCAGCAACGGGACCCTCGGTCCCTTTCCCCCCTGGGGAACGGCCCTCTGGCCAGCAACGGAACCCTCGGTCCGTTTCCCCCCTGGGGAACGGCCCTCTGGCCAGCAACGGGACCCTCGGTCCCTTTCCCCCCTGGGGAACGGCCCTCTGGCCAGCAACGGGACCCTCGGTCCCTTTCCCCCCTGGGGAACGGCCCTCTGGCCAGCAACGGGACCCTCGGTCCCTTTCCCCCCTGGGGAACGGCCCTCTGGCCAGCAACGGGACCCTGGGTCCCTTTCCCCCCTGGGGAACGGCCCTCTGGCCAGCAACGGGACCCTCGGTCCCTTTCCCCCCTCGGGAACGGCCCTCTGGCCAGCAACGGGACCCTCGGTCCCTTTCCCCCCTGGGGAACGGCCCTCTGGCCAGCAACGGGACCCTCGGTCCCTTTCCCTCCTGGGGAACGGCCCTCTGGCCAGCAACGGGACCCTCGGTCCCTTTCCCCCCTAGGGAACGGCCCTCTGGCCAGCAATGGGACCCTCGGTCCCTTTCCCCCCTCGGGAACGGCCCTCTGGCCACAAACGGGACACTCAGTCCCTTTCTCCTTTGGAAACGTTGTGGGTGTCAAGACGGTCGTCCTTGCGAGGGTGTAAACAATGGTGACCTTTATGCCAAGCAATCGCCTCGCACCTCGTTCACTGCATTAAGATCAAAAGCCAAATAAAAGAAAATAGAAACGGGATGCATATGCAAAAACGAATTTCAGCACATACTTGTTTAGCGATAGAGTAGTTGTCACTGCAGGGGCGCCCTTGTAGTTTCAGGCGCGCCCAAGGCGCAGGCGCGCCCGTGGCGCTTTCGTCTTGTGGCGCGCCATTTCGTCCTCTAGCGCGCCCATGGCGATTTCGTCCTGGGGCGCGCCATTTCGTCCTGGGGCGCGCCATTTCGTCCTGGGGTGCGCCAGGGGCGATTTCGTCCTGGGGCGCGCCATTTCGTCCTGGGGTGCGCCAGTGGCGATTTCGTCCTGGGGTGCGTCAGTGGCGATTTCGTCCTGGGGTGCGTCAGTGGCGATCTCGTCCTGGGGTGCGCTAGTGGCGATTTCGTCATGGGGCGCGCCATTTCGTCCTGGGGTGCGCAGTGGCAATTTCGTCCTGTGGCACGCGATTTTGTCCTGGGGTGCGCAACTGGCGATTTTGTCCTGGGTTGCGCCAACGGCGATTTCGTCCTTAGGCGCGCCTGTGGCGATTTCGTCGCTAGGCAAGCGCCAGTGGCGATTTCGCCTAAGGCGCGCCCGTTCAAATTCTCCGCTTATCCTGAGATCGCCCGTTCCTGCTGTAACAGGTAGCAGGAGAGCGCGACTATGTTTTCGTAGAAGTGGTGCAGAGTCGTTGCGGGAGTTGCGTGATGTCAATGCGGAAACGTATCCGTAAATTAAAAGGTGACATTTTAACACTACTTGATGCCTATTATTTTATGGTGAGGTAAGAGTGAGGACCGAGAGAGAAACGGGAACGGCTCCCGGCAGTTGGACGAGAATGGAGTGGAACTGCAAAGTTCCGAAATGAAGACGTGGGTGGAGGCCAAATGGCCTCCATCCCTCGTTATATACTCGGCGAATGGTAATTCGCAGTTGCCTAACTGCGCTACAGTCAGCTGCGCTTTCACAATACGCATTTTTAGAAAGTGTTACACACTTTCGAAAAAAAAATCATTTTTATATACGTTCACGCGTGTGATAGTTTGTGTATGCGTCTTAGGGCGTGTTGTCATTTGGTCCAACCAATTTTTCCATTCGCCGTACTTATCGACGACTATGGAATTATTGGGTACAGTTGGTTTCACATTTTTGGGGAACTTAAACAGTTGAACAGTGTTCTTTTCCCAAAAAGGTCAGGGAAAATCACTGTTCACGGTCATTTCCCCAAAGAGTGAAACCAAATGTATAAGGTTGCTACGCAACCCAAAAATCTGTACCCCATATTGGTACGAGATATACCGGATTTGGGGGATGACCGTTCGGTAACAATCGTGACTGTTTATCGCCTTGGCTTCACTGGTCGGAATGGGAAATCGGGGTTGCGCGAAACTTTACTAGCTGGAACGAAAGGAAACAGGTGAGAAGTGATGTGGCGAAACGAAAACAACGAAACGAGGGCGATGGAACCAGGCGAGAAGGAATTGCGCGTGGGGAACGTGCTCAAATGCTGCCGGCTGGGTGTGCTGCGAACTCTCAACCGTCGGAGCTCACATATGATTATCCTTAGCAGCCCAGTCCAGGAACATGGCTGATGCGTGAGTCCTTACTCTTGTAAAACCGCTAGATGAGCCGCTAGATGTATTTATCAGTTCCCAGCTTATCTTTTGGGAAGCCAGCCGTTTAGAAGTCCGAAGCTTGGCGAGTTCGGGGTAGACCTCGCCTATGAATTGCTATTGCTGCCTGACTGAAACCAAACGGCGTTAGCAATGTCGTGTCGATATTAGCATTAGGGTTCCACGTGCAGGAAGTGGCTTAGCATGCTAGAGTCGTTTAAAAAGACGTTTGTAAGGGGTCGGGAAAAGCAGGGTAAGACAGACGCAGCGTCGCACAATGCAGGCAATGCAGCAGCAGCTGCGGCAATCGCCACTTGGGGGGGAGCGGACGCCGGAAAGGCGGAATGCTCGCATCCGTCTCCCGGCGGCACGAATCCAACGGCTCCCGTTCGTCGCGGCCCGAATGAAGAGATTGCGCAGGCGAGCTTGCCGCCTTTCGCGGAGCCGCTGCCGTTGTTAAAAGACGTGGGTGCGCGGGAGAAGCAGGCCCTATTTATCCGGAAGCTTCGCCTCTGCAGTTACCTCTTCGATTTCAACGACCCTTTGAAAAACGTGAAGGAGAAGGAGATAAAGCGGCAAACACTCCAGGAGCTAGTCGACTACGTTAATTCCGGAACCGGGAAATACAACAAGGCGGTATTCGAAGACATCACGCGCATGCTGGAGATTAATCTCTTCCGGCCGTTACCGCCGTCCGCGCTCGCGATTTCCGGGACGGAATCTAAGGACCCCCAGGAAGAGGATCCGACTATGGAAGGCGCGTGGTCGCACCTGGAATTAGTCTACGAGTTCCTGCTTAGGGTTGTCGTCTCTAACGTGCCGGACCCGAAGCTCCTAAAGCGTTACATCGACCAGCAGTTTATCTTAAAGCTGCTGAACCTGTTCGACTCGGAGGACCCTCTCGAGCGGGACCATTTAAGGATCACTTTACACGTGATCTACTTAACATTCATGGATCACCAGCCGTTCATCCACAACGCGATTAACGACATTTTAGACCAATTTATCGAGTCGGAGCGGCATAATGGCATTGCAGATTTGCTGGAGTTCCTAAAGTTCGCGCTGCCTCTCAAAAAGGAGCATAAGCAGTCTCTGGTGCGAGTGCTGGTTCAGCTGCACAAGCCTAAGTGCGTGGCCATGTATCATGAGCAGCTGTCGTACTGCATCGCCCAGTTTGTCGGAAAAGACCGGAAGCTCGCGGATTTGGTTCTGCGCGGATTGCTCAAGTTCTGGCCCTCTGACAGCCAAAATGAGCTGCTTTTCCTGCAAGAGCTGGAGGACATTTTGAAGCTCACGCAGGAGCCGGAGTTTGAGATGGTCATGACGCCGCTGTTCCAGCAGATCGCGCGCTGCCTCAGCTCCTCGACCCCTGAGGTACGGTGGAACGGGGCGTATCTGGGTGTGGTGCGGTTCGAGGGACGTGATACGGTGGTCGGGTTCGAGAGGGTGTGGCGAGGTGCGGCGAGGTGTGAGGAGGTGTGAGGAGGTGCGAGTGGGTGTCATGGCATGTATTTTCATGCAGAAGCCACCGGTCATCATGATGGTCATGATGCACCTGTTTCAGCAGATCGCACGCTGTCACAGCTCCTCGCACGATGCTCCCGCCCAATTACGGGTACAGTGTGATGCGGTGCGGTGTAATATGGTCTGATGGGGGATGCACGCATCCTTGCTCAAGAACATGAGCTGTCAAATGGTCGTGACACTGCTGTTCCAGCAGAGGATATGGGTTGTGACTAGGAACAAAGGGGCGTGATTCGGTGATGGGGTGTGAGGCGGTGTGACACGGTGTGATGGGTTGGGGCGCAGAGCATTACACAAGCTTTTGAGATCCAGATGGGCATGATGCTGCGCTTCCGGCGTGCACTGCCCACAGGGCTCTCGCCATTATGTCATTGACATTCACGAGCTTTTGTAATTCAGCTTCGATTCTTCAACACTCTAGTGATGTATGGCATTCCAAGTTGTGGGGGAGTTTAAGCATTCTCGGAAACAAACAGACAGCAACCAGGGTTGGGATAAAGAGAGTGGGGCTCGACATTACGGTTTGGCCGATGCGATAGTCGTTGGCTATCTGACGTGTCATGTGATGCTGCTGTAACCTCCACCTTTACCCCCCACCTATGTCACATTTCACATCCATGCCCCATATATGTACCCTGCCACCCCTCCTCCTCCGCCCCGTTCCCCTTTCCCCCATGCAGGTGGCAGAGGGAGCGCACAGCACACTGCTTCTGTGGGACAACGACTGCATCGTGGCGTTCAAGGCATTCGTGGCATTGGTGGCGCCGAACAATTATGTCTCTCAATCCACCCTCCCACCCCCCAACCCCCATTTCCCTCTCCCCCCATGCGCACCCTGCGCCTGTGGGGCAACGACTACATCATGGCGCTCATGGTGCAGAACTATTATATTTCCCCCTTCACCTCACCCCCCCCCCCCCCCCCCCCCCCCCCCCCCACATCCCCCTCCCCCTCCCTCTCCCCCCCAACCCCATTTGCCTTGTGCCTTCAGGTGGTGGGGCGCACGCTGCGCCTGTGGGACAACGACCGCATCGTCACGCTCGTGGTGCAGCACCGTGCCACTATCCTGCCGCTCATCTTCGCAGCGCTCGAGCGCAACGCCAGCAGATACGAGACGATCCTGGTATGATGGAGTGGGCCACGAGCCCTGTGTGATCGTGCTTGGATTGCTTCTGAAACTGAAACGATTGGTGGTCCGAGGGCAACTGTAGGTGCAGTGTAGGCTGTGTTTCTGTGATGACCAATTTCTCCCCTCATGGCCTCCCATACCTGTATGGCAATGGCCCGTACGCATGGCCGTTTTATGATTATGGCATGTGTTTTTCCGTACATAAGTCATGCACATACAGACCTTCCCTTCTGGGCTGTGGGGTGCACTCTCTAATCCTGTGCCGCAATGACTAGGTGGTGATGCTAGTTGCTCAGAACGTATAAATGCACATCCCCTATGCTATGCTTCATAGGTCATCATTCCCCATATGTCATCCCCAAATGCCATGCCTCACATGTCATTGCCCATATGTCATGCCCCATACATCATTCCTCACATGTCATGCCCCATACATCATGCCTCACATGTCATGACCCATACATCATGCCCCATATGTCATGCCCCATGCATCATGCCCCATATGTTATGACCCATTCATCATGCCCCATATGTCATGACCCATACATCATGCCCCATATGTCATGCCCCATATGTCATGCCTCACATGTCATGCCCCATGCATCATGCCCCATATGTCATGCTGCATACATCATGCCCCATATGTCATGACCCATACATCATGCCCCATATGTCATGACCCATACATCACGCCCCATATGTCATGCCCCATATGTCATGCCTCACATGTCATGCCCCATACATCATGCCCCATATGTCATGCCGCATACATCATGCTCCATGTGTCATGCCCCATAGGGTTGAGCAAGGTGACGAACACCTGTTCTCGGTGTTCGCCCGAACACGATCGGTGTTCGTCTCGTCGCGGGTGCCGAGCCGCGACGAACACAAACACGTTCGTGTTCGTTTCGGGGCAAAAACTAACACGAATGTGTTCGTCACGACTGTCCCGCGATCTACAATTAAGGTTGCAGGACATTCTGTTTGAGCTCAAATTTGAGCTCAAACTTAGTCGCGCTATTCAGCCGCAGCCATTACTACCACGCCCCCCACACATCACGCCATTATCACCTCATTAGGACTTAGCGTAATTAACTAGTTACCTAGGTTAGTCTGACTAGACTTGGATAGGTGAGATTTAGGTTGTTGGGGACTACCACAGGCGAACGGCGAACACCCTTTTTTGCTAAAGCTGTTCGGCAAACCGAACACTGTTCGGTTCGCCGGACGGCGGTGTTCGTGCAGGGGCGAACGCGAACACGTTCGTGTTCGCCTCTTGCTCATCCCTAATGCCCCATAGATCATGCCCCATATGTCATGCCTCATACATCATGCCCCATATGTCATGCCTCATACATCATGCTCCACTCCATATGTCATGCCCCATACATCATGCCCCCCTTTTCACCTGCCCCATGCATCATGCCCCATATGTCATGACCCATACATCATGCCCCATATGTCATGCCCCATCATACAACATGCCCCATATGTCATGCCCCATATGTCATGCCTCACATGTCATGCCCCATACATCATGCCCCACATGCCATGACCCATACATGATGCCCCATATGTCATGCCCCATGCATCATGCCCCATATGTCATGACCCATCCATCATGCCCCGTATCATGTCATGCCCCATACATCATGCCCCATATCATGTCATGCCCCATACATCATGCCCCATGCATCATGCCCCACATGTCATGCCTCATACGTCATGCCCCATATGTCATGCCCATACGTCATGCCCCATATGTCATGCCCCATACATCATGCCCGATATGTCATACCTCACTTCTCATGCCCCATACATCATGCCCCATATGTTCTGCCCCATACATCATGTCCCATATGTCATGCCCCATACATCATGCCCCATATGTCCCCATACATCATGCCCCATATGTCATGCCCCATATGTCATTCCCCACCCCATACAGCATACCCCATATGTCATGCCCCATACATCATGCCCCACACCACATCATGGAGCACACAGGTGGCGGAGTTCTTCAGTGGAACAACGACTGCATCGTGACGCCTTTGGTGCAGAATTGAGACCTCTGTGGCCCATACATCGCATGTCACATCCATGCCCCATATATACACCCCCCCGCCTCACCCCCACCCTTCCCCTTCTCCACCCCATTCCCCTTCCTCCCCCAGGTGGCGGAGCGCACACTGTTCCTGTGGAACAACGGCTACATCGTCACGCCGGTGGCTCAGAATCAATACTCATGTGTCCCCCACCACGCGTACGTGCACCCCCTCTCCCCCCCTTCCTCCCCCAGGTGGAGGAGCGCACGCTGTCCCAGTGGAAAAACAACACCACCAACCCGCCACCCATCTTCACATTTGAGCCCAACCCCAAAATCGACGAGATCCGGGTATGGTGGCACGTGCAGGTACATGGCAGGCTGTGCCTGTTGCACAACTTCAGAAGCCACTGGGTTCAGGCAGAGTGTGGGCAGTTAGCCCGGTGTAGTGCCTGGATTGTTTCTGAACTGTGGCTATGGCTGTAGCGCGGACTGCCTATGGCGGTAGCGCGGACTGAAGCCACTGGGTTCAGGTATAGTGTGGGCTGTGCGCCCGGTGTAATGCTTGAGTTGCTTCTGAACTGAAAACACTGCTTCCGCCACCATGCTTGCTCACCATGCAGTCCACAGCAATGTACTGGCCGCGCTCAGCCCCGCCACGCCCCGAGCCATTCCGCTGCCCTCGACGGCCCCCAGAGCTTGCTGACTGAGGACGTGGACTCGTTTCCTGGCGGCCCCCCTCCCAGCGGTGTCCTGGAGAACCACGGTCCCGACGCGCCGGCGAATGACCTGGCGTCGGATGCGCAGGCGACCTCGCCCGCGGCGAGCGCCTTTCCGGGGGCGCACGGTCAGGCGGCCGCCGGTGAGGAGATGGGTGGTGGGGATCATGATGCACCGGGGACCGCCGATCATCCTCCCACCGACGACGGGGTCCGCGCCGCTCAGGCGAGCGGTGTTGAGGAGACGCGCGCCGAGGAAGCTGGCGCTGCGGGGACCGGCCGCGCTCCTGACGCACGGACCCCTAGGGTGGTCCCAGGGCAAGGCAACTGCAGTTGCAGTGTAGGCTGTGTCTGTAGCACAGGCTCTAGCACCGGCTGTAGCCATTGGAATCAGATAAGCTGCAGTGAGCCTGGTTTTGTGATCGGCTTGCCTCTGAAACGAGCAATGGTGCAATTGATTTGTGTCACAGTGGTTCCTGCAGCTTCAGGTATAGGGTGCTCCACGGCTGTTGCACACTATGAAGCCACCAGAACTAGACAGGGTGGTGCATCAGCGCTACGGCTGTTGCAGTGAAGTCAAGTCTTGATCGGACTCTCCTGCTCAACTGACTCGGTATGTTACGGTTAATGCATCAACGATTCAACATGCAGTCAAGGGCGAGTCAGGAGTCACCTGACTCGGTTTAGGATTTTGGGGTTGCGGTGACACGGGGCGACAAGCAAAATCGACCCCAGTCACACGATTTTGTTGTTAAGAATCAGTGGCGCCCTTGCAGGAAGGGTTCCCTCTATCTCCTCAATCCCTGTATCTCCTCAATCCCGTGCCCATTTACTCTCATCTGGTGAGTTTACTTTCGGGGCTTCCTTAGCCTGTGTCTCCCTCCATTACTTCATAATCTCGCTACCAATCTGGTGTTGTAACCTCATTATCAGCTCGATACATGCTTGTCCTTGTCAGCTTAACCCTCTATCATCGCATCTCCCCATGCTTCACTCAGCCACACTCCCTCTGCCTCATATTCCCCCCTGTTCTCTCCCTCCTCTCCCCTCTGCCCACCCTCAAATTCTCCCCCCTCCCTCCGTCCTCTCCCGCTCTGCTCACTCTGACATCTCTCCTCCTCTCTCTCCACTCCCCCTCCTCTCCCCCTCCGCTCTCCTTCATCTTATGACGAGGGCTAGCAGCAGATCCTCCCTGCCTGACCCGATGCACGCATGCATGCTGTGCTGCTCTCACTCCTCTCCCTCACTCCTCTACCACTCTCCCTTCACCCATTCCTCCCCATCCTCTCTCCCACTCTTCTCTCTCCTCTCCTCCTCGCCTCACCCTCCCCTCCCTCACTCCTCTACCACTTTTTCCCTCACCCACTCCTCTCCATCCTCTCTCCCTCTCTTCTCCCTCCTCTCTTCCACGCCTCTCCGTCCTCTCCCCCTCTCCTCTCCCACTTCTCCTCCACTCCTCCACTCCTCTTCCTCCTCTTCCTGACTGCTCTCCCCCGTCCCTCCCACCGTTCCCCCCCCTCCCTCCTCTTTGTCCAGGCGGTCAATGGGCTGACCAACAAGGTGCGCAAGATTTTTCTTGAGATAGACTAGGCCTTGCTTGCTTAGGTGCATGCTGTGAAGTGCCCCCCCAAACAACCCCCCCTCACCCCCCACGTTTTTCCTTTACCCAGGCGGTGAACGGGCTGACCATCAATGTGCGCAAGATGGTTCTCCAGATAGACCAAGCCCTTCCCACAATGCATGCGGTGCTGCTCCTCTTCCTCCTCTCCCCCTCTGCTCTCAGTCTCCCCTCCATTTCTCTCCCTCCCCTCCTTCCCCCGCGGCTCTCCCGCCCCTCACCCCACCCCTCACACCCCCATTCCTCCCTCTACCCAGGCGGTGATTGGGATGACCTTCAACGTGCGCAGGATGTTTCTCGAGATGGACCAGCCGCTTTACGACGAGTGCCATCGCCAGTTCCTGGAAGAAGAGGGGCGCACTGCTGACGTGGAGGAGCGGCGCACCGCCACCTGGCAGCACCTGGAAGAAGCAGCCGGCAACAACACATGCAGCCGAGGTGCCACGAGAGGGAGGCTCAGGTGGACGGACACGGCAGAGGAGAAGTGGGTAAAAGGGCACAGTGGGGCCTAGTCAGAGGGAGGGGGACAGAGGGACTGCAAGGAGCCAGTCACCAACACTGGGGCCAAGGAGTGAGAAGGGGTGTTGGGTATGGCCAGAGAGGGGATTTGCAATCACGTTTTGAGTCGACTCAAAACGCGGCCAGAGAGGGGAGGGGATTTGCAGTCACGTTTTGAGTCGACTCAAAACACGGCCAGAGAGTGGAGGGGATTTGCAGTCACGTTTTGAGTCAACTCAAAACACGGCCAGAGAGGGGAGGGGATTTGCAGTCACGTTTTGAGTCGACTCAAAACACGGCCAGAGAGGGGAGGGGATTTGCAGTCACGTTTTGAGTCGACTCAAAACACGGCCAGAGAGGGGAGGGGATTTGCAGTCACGTTTTGAGTCGACTCAAAACACGGCCAGAGAGGGGAGGGGATTTGCAGTCACGTTTTTGTTTGAATCTATATATTATAGCATGCGAACACTTGTGACTGTACACCAAGAGTGGTGTACAGTTGGGTTGGTTCATGCCCTAGTTTTGGGTGTACTGCGGGTAGACACCCTAATTGGGGTGAACCCAAATATCCTAGCTTAGACTTGGCTCCAACCTTGTTGGCCAAGTGGGGCAACCAACTTTGGTTGGTTGGCCACCATCCCACTAGGGTTGGTTGGATGGTCCTTCCTCCCACTAGCCTACTTGGTCTTGGTGTCTTATGTGCTAGGTTTGGTGTTCTTCTCCAACCTTCTCTTGTATATCCTTGTGCTCTCTTGAGCTAATGCTAACAATTCTTCCTCAAGTTTCCATAGCTCCTAGTTTCTTTCATGGTATTCAGAGCCTAAGGCAAACGCCCTAGATCCTAGGCCTACTCAACCAAGTATTACCTTTTTTTTTACATCTCCCACCTTCTCGTCGTAATTCCTTCCTTCAGTCGCACCGGTCAAGTTCGCCGTGCGAAATTCTTCCCTGCAGTCCGCACGGCCACATTTCACCGTGCGAAATCCTTCCCTGCAGTCCGCACGGCCACATTTCACCGTGCGAAATCCTTCCCTGCAGTCCGCACGGCCACATTTCACCGTGCGAAATCCTTCCCTGCAGTCCGCACGGCCACATTTCACCGTGCGAAATTCTTCCCTGCAGTCGCACGGCTTCATTTGACCGTTGCGAAGTACCTCCCTGCAGTCGCACGGCTCTGTTAGACCGTCGCGTCACCTCTGCAGGCAGCCGCGGAGACCCCTCTGATTGTCGCGTCACCTCTGCAGGCAGCCGCGGAGACCCCTCTGACCGTCGCGTCACCTCTGCAGGCAGCCGCGGAGACCCCTCTGACCGTCGCGTCACCTCTGCAGGCAGCCGCGGAGACCCCTCTGACCGTCGAGCAGCAGCGTGACTGGACAGCAGCAGCAGCGGGACTGGACAGCAGCAGCAGCGGGACCGGACAACAGCAGCACCGTGACTGGACAGCAGCAGCAGCAGCGTGACTGGACAGCAGCAGCAGCGGGACTGGACAGCAGCAGCACCGTGACTGGACAGCAGCAGCAGCGGGACTGGACAGCAGCAGCAGCGGGACTGGACAGCAGGAGCACCGTGACTGGACAGCAGCAGCAGCGGGACTGGACAGCAGCAGCAGCAGCGTGCCTGGACAGCAGCAGCAGCGTGACTGGACAGCAGCAGCGGCAGAGCTGCTCGGTGGCAGCAGGACTCGTGACAGGAGCGACAGTCATGGCGACTGACTCCGTGCCTATTGACACCGGATCCATCGTTCGCCTCGAGGTCCAGGACGGCACTACCGCACTGAATTGGCACCGTTTCTCACAGAGCCTCACCGGTGTCCTCCGCTCCACCATTGTGGGCGGCTTTAACCTCTACTCCGTTGTCTTCGCTGAACCGGATGGCCTTGGGCCCACCCCACCTCCCCTCCTTGGTCTTGAACCTCCTCCTCCTCCACCCCATCCTGGCGAAGCACCTCGCCCGCCCGATCTCCCTCGCCTCGTTTCTGACAACACCACCAATGCCTCGCGCCTCACCACCTACGCGGAGGAGGTGGCGACACACACGCGACTGGTGGATACCCACAAGGCAGCCCTTGCAGCTCACACCATGGCCGCTGCCCTTCAAGCGCAGTACGCTGCTGATCAGACGTCGTACACCTCCCAGCTGACTGATTTCAAGTCTCGCCATGCCGCCTGGTGCATTGCCGACACTCGGGCTATCGGCCTCATCAACTCCTGTATCCCGACCTCGCTCCAAAGCGAGCTTGACGCCACTTCCTCTGCAGTTCTCTGGCGCGCTCTCTGTGACTTGTATGACCGCCGGGACATGGCATCTCTTCATGCCCTCTACCGTGACTTCAACGCTATCACCCTTGACAACTGCACCGGCGCAGCTGACTATACCCGTCGCCTCAACAACACGGCTCGGCGTCTTCGGGAGCGTGGGGCCACTATTGACGACCCCCTCCTCATTTGGCGCATCCTCGAAGGACTCACTCCGGCCTATGAGATGCACCGCATCGCCTACGACATTGTTCTCTCTCCCCACGCCACGGCTGCCGACGTCACCACATGGGTCCTTGATACTGAAGCCAAGCTTACCCGCCAGTCCCCCTCCACCCTCAACTTCACACAGGGACGCGGAGGACGTGGGGGGCGTGGTGGCAAGGGTCGTGGTGGGGGGAGTGGCGGAGGCGGTGGTGGTCGAGGTGGAGGGGCTGGCGGTGGCGCTCCAGGTGGGACGCCGGGAGGTGATGGGGGTGCTGGTCGCGGTGGACGCTCAGGGGGTTTCCCTCCTTGCTCCTATGTCATTCGACAGGGCCCCAACAAGGGCCACCGCTGCAACCAAACCACCCATCCTGCTGAAACCTGCTTCAAGGCCCTCAGTGATGAGTGGTTTGCTCGGGGCAACACAGGTACCCCTCCTCGCTGGGCCACTGTTACCCCTCGCCCCACTGTTCATGACGTTCGAACACTTCCCGCCTATCAGCCACCACCTTCTCAGCTCCACCAGACTCTGGCGAGTCACCTGCCTCCCCACCTCCTGCACCAGGTACAAGTCTTTCTCCCCGCCCTTCCAGACCCGCAGCCTCAGCAGCAGCAGCAGCAGCAGCAGCAGCAGCAGCAGCAGCAGCAGCAGCGGCAGCCGCAGCAGCAGCAGCAGCTGATGCACCCGGGGTTCCAGGGCCTTCCGCCTATGCAGCAGCAGTACCTGGGGTCACAGCATCACCCGGGATTCCTGGGTCCCCCCCTCCTCCCTTATCCTCCCCAGCCACAGCAGCCCCTTCTTCAGCAGCAGCCATACCCTGGCTACCCCTCTGCCCCCCCCAGTGTCTTTGACACCCAAGGCAGTTTCCTTGGTCATGTTACCGTTGCACCCTCTGTCGCTTCCATGTATCCCTCTGCTATTAATGAGACGCTTTTCCAGTACCCCGTGTCACCTCCCCCTCCTTCCTCCCCCACCTTGGACTTTGTCCTTGATAGTGGGGCCACAGAAACCGCACTGAAGGATGCTGGCACCCTCACTCCCCTTCCTCTTCCCACTCAGGTACACGGTGCCCACACCAGTTTTTCCATCCCATGCACTCACCTCTCCACTCTACCTTGCACCGCTTTCCCATCTGGTACTGTCACAGGTCTCCACATCCCCACCTTTCGCAACAACCTCCTCTCCCACCGTGAGATACAAGGCGCTGGTATTACCGCTATTTACCCTGGTAATGCCTCTTACTGTGATCTCTACAACACTGCTTCTGGCCGCTTCCTCCTACGCATTCCCCTTTGTCCTCGCACTCGCCTTTACACGCTCCGCACACCTCGTCCCTCCTTTTGTCAGGTCACCACTCGTGCTGGCACTTCCACCGGCCCCCCTCCCCCTCCCCCTACCCCTCCCCCCCAGGTATCCTCCTCCCCTACGTCATCCCCCTCATCCTCCTCCCCCTCTCCTTCCCCCACTCCATCCCCCTCCTCCTCTAGTCACCTCTCCCACCCTGCTGTGCTCTTGCATCACAGATTAGGCCACCCAAACTTCGCTGCACTTCGCACTGCCATCACATCCCGCCTCCTCGACAGCCTCCCCCCCACTCTTCCTCCCCTCCCTTCCTCCCCCGCACCCCCATGCCCATCCTGCATTCATGGCAAACTCAAACAGTCTCCCCATCACAGCCATCCCACTTCCGCAGCTGCTCCCCTTGACCTTGTTCACATGGACCTGTGGGGCCCCTATCCCATCCGCTCTCGCCAGGGGCACCGATACATGCTCGTTCTCGTCGACGACCACAGTCGGTACTCTACTGTCTTCTTCCTTCACACGAAGGATCAAGTGCCGGCTGTGGTCATTGCCTGGGCTGAGCAGTGCCGCACACACTTTAAACGCCCCATCAGCCGCCTTCACTCTGATGGTGGGGGTGAGTTCCTCAATCATACCCTCGCCACTTACTGCAAAACCCGCGGCATTCAGCAGACCCACACCCTCCCCCATTCCCCTCAGCAGAACGGCATCGCTGAGAGTCGCATTCGTGAGATCACCAAGATTGCTCGTTACCTTCTTGCTCACGCCTCCACCCCTCCTTCCCTCTGGAGCTATGCCCTCCTCCATGCTGCCCTCCTCCTTAATCTCCGCTCCCACCCTCAGCATTCCTCCTCCTCCCCCACAGAACTTTGGTCTAAGGCCAAGCCTGACGCTGCTGGCCTTCGCGTTTGGGGCTGCAAGGCGTTCGTCCTCATCCCTCCGGCCGATCGCTCCCGCGCTGCTGGCAAGCTCGCCCCTCGCGCTCTGGAGTGCGTCTACCTTGGGCACAATCGCGATTCCCCAGGCTACCTATTCCTCCACCCTCCCACCAATCGCCTCATCCGCAGCATCGACGTCGTCTTCGACGAGTCCACTCCCTACTACTCCACTCCTCCTCCTGACCCTCTCCCTCCTCCCACTCGCCCCCTCGCTTGGACCGACACCGTCCTCCCGCCTCT